TGCCTTAGATGGTCTCGAACCTGATGTTCTCCCACAGTGGGCAGCACTTCATTCTCCCAGTCCCCACCTTTGCCTTCTGTGGCTTGGGCGGTGAGGCTCAAGCACTTGCTGGTGAAGACCAGCAAAGTCATTGAGCACCTCCGTCTTCTCCATGTCCCAGGTAACCAGGTGTCCCGTTTTGTTCTGGAGAGGGCCCACATTTTCCCTCAATAAATAAAATAAACCCTGAAAGATATGAAGACCTCTCAGTAGGGACAGCTGCTCCCTTGTGAACTCGATAAGCAACTTTTAGGACCCCCTTGTTCTAGTTGCATCAGGACTTGCCCATGGGATGATCCCAAGGCGTTCCTGCAGCACCCTCCTGGATAAAAGTCACAGGAAAGGAACAATTACCCATTTCATTGTCCTAAAGTAAAGACTTGGGCTACTGTGGGAGAAACTCAGTCGTAAATAGTGAAGCACTGCAATGAGTAAAAATTACAAAACTGCTTAATTAAGACAGGAGCCTGAAGCAATTTGGGATCTGAAAACAGGCTGCCAATAGGTGATAGCTTCCCAGCACAAATCCTTCCTGCTTAGGATTTCAAATCCTCTTCTTCTAGGAGGAATGTAAACAGGATAATATCATGGCACAAGGGAAAAAAATCTAATGGTTGGTGGGCTCACAAATGGCATGAAAATATTGGAATTGGGGATGTCCTTCTAGCGTCATCTCCGGTATTGAGGCGTAGAGGTGCGTTTGAGCTAGTCAAGAGAACTTCCCTGTAAGTGGAGTCCATGTGAGTTGTGGCTGTTAATTACAGTCTCTTGTGTCACGAAAAAAACATATCAATCAAAATGTGAGTCTGCCATGCAGACCAAGGGGCAGCATGCAGGTTAGGAGTCAACACTTTTGAATTGTACGTTGATGCAATAGTGGTTGCCCAACAATAAATCACTTAATAACTCTAGGGTTAGGTTCGTTTTTAATATGTAAATATGCAACTGCCTTCAAAATTCCCTTATAAAGCAGATTGGGAAATCCATTGCCTATTAACATGTTAGGGAAAAAGTCATAATTGTTTTTCCTGACTGTGTCAAATCGGAAATACTAAAAACTAGACACAGAAGATAGATATGAACGTAACTACTTAATTAATTGTCAGCATTGCCAAGAGATGCATAATTTCTTGGACAGCCCTTTGGAAGATATAAAAGTTCGCCATCCCCTGTTCCTCCTTCATTCAACATCAGCTCTCGGCACTCTTATTCTTCTTGCTCCAACAAAGGGTAAGTTGGATTATATTATCTGCTATTGAGCAGCAGGAGCTCACATAGGAATTCTAACTGACTAGTTCTGCATTTAGGCATTAACTTTGTCTTTGAAATTTCTTATTTTTGGTGACTGGGTACCTGAACATGTAAGCTACACAAAGAGTGTTCGTGGTTTGCTCACAGCAGATGGGATGACAGAAAAATAGGACTAATTGAAGGACCAAATCTACCAAGACACAGAGTCTTTTGGACCCAGCAAGGAATTAATTCCCAAAGTAGCTGGTGATGGAGGGAGAAATGTCTCAGGCAAGTCAGTACAGTTTTAGAAGGAAATTTTACCTGAAAAAGCCAACAGTAGCATCTTGGTAGGGAAATGCCCACCAGAGCCGGACCATCGTAGAACATCCCCCAAAAGACAGGGTAGTGTCACGTTCAGGGTCAAGGTATCCCACATATGACAAAACAGAGGAAAACTAAATTTCCCAGACCACTACAGAAAAAGAACCAAGGAAAATGCAGGAGGTTACAGTGGGGCAGCCGTGCCCAACTGATGGTCTCTCTCTCTCTCTCTTCCCTACAGCTTTGCCGATACTCCAGAAAGATGTGCTCTCGCGGGTCCTGCCACGACAATGAGTCCTCCTGCCACGGATACAGAGGCAGCCTGTGCAGAAGTACAACTACGTGACGCCCTGCTGCCCCCCGGTGCAGCGCTACTGCCCCCCCGTGCAGTGCTACTACCCCCCCGTGCAACGCTACTGCCCCCCAGCCCCCTACTGCCCCCAGTACACCAAGAACATCTGCAAGCTGCCGCCGACATATCCCAAGTACTAGCAGCAGGATCTGGCCCCAGACCCGGACACACCGGCTCGCTCCTCCCTTGGACGCTGTGGCCGTGGATGGCCTCATCCTTACTGAAATCCCTGGCTTTCTGCCGTGTGCCTCACTGCTGGTCTGGATGAAGTGTTCCCCTAACAGTCATTCAAGGTGTCAGTCTTTCTAATTATCCAGGAAATGTCCTTTCTAATTATTCCATGCATAATTACTGTTGGGACTCTTTCTATGCCATGCACTTGTGTTTCAGACTCATTTGGGTGTGGGAAGCAATAAATCTTACAATTCATGAGACCCGCGTTGTCTTTCCATTTCTTTAGGCACTTTTTCCTTTAGACTTTTTTATTTTTTTCGGGATTCTTCAGTCCAATTGCCTCGTATTCTCAAAGTGTCCCAATATTTGGTGGCCAATAACAACAATTCCCATGTTCATTTGGGAAGAAACCAGACACGTCAGTAGAGGAAAAACTTCTCACCTACCAAAAATCCACGAGGACCTAAAGGGCTGAGCAGAACAAAGCTTCCCCTGCTTACACCAGACAATGAGCTGGTCTACACAGAGTTTTGTTCCGTCATTTTGCAAACAACAGGATCGAGGACAAGTGAATGCAAACTCTTTGGTTTTGGGGACAAGCATAGCTCATTAAATGAAAGAGGAATAAGTAGTTCATAGTTGCTAATATTCTTACTCAATACATGCAATAATTTCCTCCAAGCTCAACTTCAGAACTTGGGCATATACATATTTTCTAATACCTTAATACCTCTGAGCCTCTCCAAACAGAAGTCACAAACTTCTTTTTCATATTCCAGTGTTGCTTGTCACTAGTATATACTTCAGAGCGGAGAAACGCGTTAGCCCGGAGAAGGTCCATCTCGTGTAAGACTCTCGTGCACTCGCAGAGCACAGATCTGAACACCACAGTATGCTACTAGGTAGAGCTTGTAAACCAAACACTGCTGAATGTAACCAAGCAAGTATCAACCCCCACATTGCTCTAAAAATGACATTTCATCACCGTAGATTGGGTTTCCCTCATATACTCCCCTAAAAGAACTGCAAGTAATGGATGATAACTCTTTAGAGATCATGTTTTCCTTAGCAGGATCTGAACTTGAAAGATTCAGAAACGTTTCTTGGGAGGGTGTCGCCTAGGACACCCCAGTTTTGGAAGGCTGTTGAGGAGGTAGAAAGATTTTGGAGGAACATTGGTGTGATGGTCCAGGCCAAAGCACGGAGGAATGGAGAAGTGTCACACAAGCACCGGCTTCGCCGACTGGGCAGCTGCAGCCTTTCTTGGATTTGGACCCGCAACTGAGTCACAAAATGTCCCTGAGGGATTCGTGCAATCCTCCCTTGCTACACAAAACTTACCACAAGCCATTATACCACCTCTAACCTGAAGAAAAGCTCTAAGAAACCCGTACGTTAGAGAGAGCTCCTTATTAGCAGTTAGCAAATTGCTCTAATGGGTAACATTTTCCAAAGCTGATGAGTCATGGGTTTCATTTTCTTACGCTTCAAGGACTGAGTCAAACAGGATTATAAATCCAAGTTCAGTGCCCGTAATTTTGCCACTGGTGACAGAACCCAAGATTTGCTCAAACTCCAGCTCAAACGCTCCCTTCCTCTGAACCCTTTGCGTTCCAGACATCTCTGCAGGTGAGGTCAGGGGAAAAGAGTGTAAGAAATCAGTGAAGGGAAAGAGAAACCAAGGGACAGCAAAACTTAACATACTCGGACGTTGTACAGAGCTCATCGCCAGACATTGTTCTCTGATCTTAAGTACCGAATAACCTTTGATACACGTGGCACAATCTGATGGGGTCATGCAAATCATCTGGCAAGTCAAGGAACACGTGAAGAATCAGAAATATTTCCTTTTTCGCCATACCAGGGGATGGAAGAGATCATGCAAGAGTTCCCAGCATCATGCCATACCTGTGAGTTGCAGCTGGTAATCCCATTTCCTCTTGGCATTCAACAACATGTAAATTAAAACCCTGAGCTGTCACCTGCACAAAACGGTAGGCCTACCCCAGGAGTCAGCATTTCTGAGACGTAAAGACGTCTTTCTGTCACTGATGTAATCCCAGTTGCCCATTCACAAGCTAAGTAACACCTATGAGATTAGTGTCGGTCTCCAGGAAATGGGAGAGAAATGCCTTCCAAAATCCTTGTTGGAAATGCATTCGGAATTACAAACGGGAGGAAATACAGCACGTCAAAGAGGAAACGCTAAAAATAGGATAGCGCAAACATCTGCGGGATTGAGTGTGGAAATAATTAAATTGTCATTGCAAAGAGGTGTCTCACATCCGAGATAATCTTTTGGAGCCATATAAAAGATCGCTCAGCCCAGTCCTCCTCAGTCGCTCACCATCGCTTCCAGACACTTCTCCCTGTAGCTGAAAAGGGTAAGACCAATTTTACTAGTTCTGTTTGTGCTGGGAGAGAAGAAACCTCCACCAGAGGGTTCATGGACTGCCTGGGAGCTGGGACTTTGCTAAATGCCCTCTGCTTGCACCCTTGCGGTGCTCTGAGGCAGGCATGGTGAACGGCGGATGGAGGGATGGGGATCACCAGGGAAGGTGCAGCAAAGGCACACAAAGGGATCCTCGGGTGAGACAAGCTCCGTGCTGTTTCACAAGGGAGATGGGGTTTGGGAGTGGCTCATGGGGCTCATTGCATCGGCTTGCAGGGACCTAGCTTCAGACAGCGATTGCCAGAGCAAGCCCTGCAGATTAGGCAGGGTCGAAGGGGCATTCGGTCGGGATTAGGCAGGCAAAAAGAGAGAAACAGTTTGCCAGGGAGCTCAAGACAAATATTATGAAAACCAAAAAGGGGAGGGAATGTAAGAAGTGGATCGGGGGCTCCTCTCACCACGTTGATCTCTTGCTCCTGACAGCTTTGCCCACTCTCCAGAAAGATGTGCTCTCACGAGTCTTGCCACAGCCACGAAACCTCCTGCCACGGATCCCACTCCTCCTGCCATGACTCGGGGCCCTCCTGCCATTCCACCATCCAGAAGCAGCCTGTGCAGAAGTGCAACTACGTGACGCCCTGCTGCCCCCCCGTGAAGACCTATTGCCCCCCTGTGAAGACCTATTGCCCCCCTGTGCAGCCCTGCTGCCCCCCCGTGAAGACCTATTGCCCCCCCGTGAAGT